CCAAAAAGGAGCTTTCTAAAGAAAGTGGGTAAGCTGAAAGATCAGTGAGAATGATACAGCTGTATTTATGCCTTTATTTTTCTAAGAAGTGTTTTTAGAAGAATTTTTTCTTTTATTACTGAAAGTTTACCAAATCATTTCCCAACTAGTGTCCCGTGTATTAAATCATCTGATTAGAAAAGATGTACAGGATAGGGAGACAGGTGTGTAGCAGTTAAATGGGTTTGTATACTCCAGAAGGGAAGAGTATTCATAACTTAATGTGCTAATTTGAGGTGGGAGTCCCCAGGAAAGGTGTTTACCTGGGTGAATCTCCTGGGCAGACCTGACCTGCTTGATTGCTGCATCGTCTACCACGAGGCAGGGCCTCTGTCCCGCAACACAGGCACAGGAGGCCAGCAGCAGCACGTGAAGGCCAAGTAACTTCACTTAACTGCTTTCTGCAAGTACAAAATTACAAGTGTATGACGAGGTTCTCATACTTAATTTAGCTACTTAACCCAGCTTTTAACGACACATCTTAAAGCTCTTCAGAAGAGATGTACAATATACTATTGGTGGAACATTTTGAAAAGTATGAAAAGTTATTTTTTTTCCTGTTTTCTTTTTTTTTTTTAAATGAGAAGTGGAAAATTCACTCTGTATCTCAGACAAAATATATACCACATAGAGATTTGTGGTTCTCTATCTAAAACTGGGATTAGATGTTTTAGAATTTAGAATTTCCTAGATTTTTAGAAAATTAAAATGATTTATATTGTCGAAAGACAAAATTACAAAACTTTATAATAGTTATAGATCTAAGTGGCTTTTGTCTGCATTCACAAATAGGGCAGCTTCCATTCTACAAAATAGAGTGAGGGCTCCCATGGGCAACAGCAGAACAGGGGGTTTCATAAGTGGGAAAAGGGAACAGAACAATAGAAAATAGAAGCTGATTGGTTAATGTCAGATTACTCCTGGTTGCTTTTCTCTAAGGGTTAAAGCAGAGGGGACTTCCTTATTACACTGACTCAGGTAGACTGGAATCTCTTATTTTCAGGAAAAACTGTTCTGTTTTGGAATCTATCTGTTTCTCTAAAGCTTCAGTTTAATTATGTGGCATTTAGCATGAGCGACTCCATTTTGGTTTGGTTTTGTCTGTGCAGGAGCTCAGTCCAAAACAATGGCCTCCCATAATTTTTGTTTAACAATATACTATAGATATTGAATTTTAAAAAAAAAGCAAACAAATCTAGTGGGTTCTGGCAGAGCATCCTATAGTCAATTGCATTCATATTTCTACATATTCACAAAGTGGGATAAATGTTTTTAAAAGACAAATACTTTACAACCTCACATTTATCCAGGTCAGGTTTTGCCATTTAATATGCTTTTCAGTCAAATTTATGAAAAGCTTTCAGTCTTGAGACCTGTCTGGATTATGGAATTCCAGATAAGGGATCTAGAATTGAAGCAATTAGAATAAGACACATCATTGAGTTTCCCTCTCTGCTGTTAAATTAAGTTTGGCCTAAAGCTGCCTCCTTACATATTTTAAGTTTGGCCCAAAGACTTCTCCATACATAGTGAACTGTATCCTAGGTGGTTGTGTAAACAGACCGTAACCTACTCTCACACCAAATCAGAGTTTCAGCCAGTCACAGGGGGCCAACTGTTCAAAATGGGTTCCAATGAGACAAACACTGAGCTGTAAGCAGTCCAGCTGTTTCTGTACCTCACTTCCCTTTCCTTTACGTCACTTTCCTTTTTCTGTCCATAAATATTACCCGACCACGTGGCAGCCCCAGAGTCACTCGGTACCTATTCTGGTTTGGGGGGGTGCTGACCGGATTCATGAATCATTCTTTGCTCAATTAAACTCTGTTAAATTTAATTTGTGTAAAGTTTTTCTTTTAATACTGCTTAGCCCACTGGAAAACCCAGAGCTAAATTTATGGCCCAGCTGTGAAAATTGTATGGAATTACAGGACACATATTTTTATGTGCCTGACCTCATTTTATTTTCCTACTTTCATTTTTTCTTATCTCTGACTTCCGCATCTTTTAACTATATGCTAATTGCATATTAAATACATAATTATATTCCCTGAGTTTTTTATTACCACTACTGATCCTTTCTGGAGGGGAACTTGGAGTATCAATAAAACAAATTTTGCACGGGGGTACTTTTGCCACCAAGTGGCAGCACACCTTGATTGCAGGATAGAATTTTGAATACTTAAATGTTGAAAACGAATCCATAAGCCTAAAGTTGCACAACTGCAACATACATCACAAACTCTTCACCTCCCTGTGATACAGGTGTCAGAATCGTAATCCTTTTTAGGACAGAGGATAATGTTTTGTCCTGTCTGACTCAGGGCTGGCCTAGTCCCTATGGAACCTCCTGGCAGCTCTTCCACCTATTCTGACTGAGCCAGTCCCTTCCCCTGTCGCCTGTACTTCCCTTCCTGCCTTTACAGGAGCCCACACAAAGCCCCCTTGTCTCTTCTCTTTTCTGCATCTTTAGTTTTTGTCCCCTCTGTGGGTCTTTCCCATAAGCAGTTTTTCCCTAAAGCTGCTTGAGCATTTCCTAACCTTAAACAAAAATTTCACCCCTCCTTCCCACTGCTGCTACTGCCTCTGTCCCTGACCCCAGCTCCTCAGTCCACTTCCAGAAGCAGGTGAGGGCTGTCCATGCTGACATCTGTCTGTCACCTCCCACTCAGCTCCAGCCTGCTCAGGCCTTACTCTTATGCCAGCTCTTGCTTGGGGGCCTCCCTAATCCACTGGGCTTTCCTAATCCACTCCTGCCTTCCTCCTCTCTCGTATCTTCACTGCGGCCAAAGGGATCCTTCTAGAACACAAATCTGACTATGAGACATCCTTGCTTAAAGCTGCCCAATGGCTCCCTGCAGAGGTGGCGTGGCTCGGAGGAGCCTCCTCCTTCCCTGCCCTCCGCCCCTTCCCTCCACCCTTTGCACGGGCAGTTTCCTCTGCATGAAATGCTTCTTCTCCCCCCGACCCGCCCTCTCCTGTCTAGTTAACGGCTGCTCATTGTGCAAATCTCACTTCTACGTTCCTTCCCCCAGTGAAGCCTTCCAAGTCGCAGCTCTCGTGCCACCCTACGCGCCTTTCCTTCCCAGCACTCGCTACAGGTAGAAACTCTGGAATCGGCGCCTACGTGGAGAATGCCGGCTGGGAAGCTCTTGGGGACAGGCGTCCTGTCTGTCCTTCACCACTGGTGTCCCTCGTGCCTAATGCTCGGTGCTCACTCACAGGAGTCTTGTGTTTGTTAGTTAAACAAGAAAATGTCATCCTTCCATATAGACTTTTTTTGTGAAAGTAAAACTGTTAAAACTAGCATGAATCCTGTCAACACAAGATAAAATACAAAGCAAAGCTTAAAGAAACCTGAACATTTTGACACATGCTATTGGAAGATATGACTTAACCGAATCTGGACTTTTAAAAATCCTGTTTGAGGCCGGGCGCGGTGGCTCACGCCTGTAATCCTAGCTCTCTGGGAGGCCGAGGTGGGCGGATTGTTTGAGCTCAGGAGTTCGAGACCAGCCTGAGCAAGAGCGAGACCCCGTCTCTACTAAAATTAGAAAGAAATTAATTGGACAACTAAAAATATATAGAAAAAATTAGCCGGGCATGGTGGCGCATGCCTGTAGTCCCAGCTACGCGGGAGGCTGAGGCAGGAGGATCACATGAGCCCAGGAGTTTGAGGTTGCTGTGAGCTAGGCTAATGCCACAGCACTCTAGCCCGGGCAACACGTGAGACTCTGTCTCAAAAAAAAAAAAAAAAATCCTGTTTGAGGAAATTTTTCTTTCATACAAGGTGGGTGGGTGCCCCTGATGTCAGAAAGCCTCAGGCCTTTGAGCCTCTTCTGCCTGGCTCGCAGTTTTGTTTTGTTTGTTTGGTTTGGTTTTTGTTAATATTGTTGTTTTAAATAGCCAAATGGAAACAGGAAAGAAAAGCTGCGGGTTTGTTGTCTGAGCAGTTATCAAGCACTGCTATAGTCTTTCACTTGAGGCCTTTTCCTGACGGTTACTGTGTATTCATCCATCCTTAGCAAATCCTTACGGGGTGTCTGCCCCGCCCGCCAGGCCAGGCGCTATTTTAGGCGCTGGGGGTGTTCATGACAGTGGCTCAGTTCCCTTTCCAGCAGACAGGCCATGTTCTTATTCACAGGTGGTTAATTTATGTCACTGTACCACTGAGTAACCTGCCATTGGTCTTTATATAATGTGTTTCTCTTTAGAGAGGCTTTTAGCTTAATTAGATTGTAAGTAGAGTTGTATAAAGTGGTAGCTTTCTTCAATAAACATCAGTATTAATGATTTTAAAGTAGAGTACAATTGAGCAAAGTACTTTCAACTACACTATTAGTTTATTTTTAAGAGGATCTGTATATTATAGGATTAGGCCTAATTAGTCTCACAGAGAAAGCCTTAAATTATATAGGGACATTAAACTGACTGTCCAAGCTCTGCAATTCTTTGAGGTTGGAAAATGAAAGCATCTGCAGTTCGTGAGCATGCCTACTCTTTAGGATGTCAGTTCAGTTTTAATACTGCCTGGCATCATGAATTATAATTTATTTTTTGACATTTTAATCTTTTAGTCCTATCATCAGTTACATGCACTTACAAATCAAGAGAGTACTTGAACAGGCACTCATCGGTAACAAAGGAACAGAACAATTATTCCCCTTAAGGTTTTAAATAGATTTTTAAAGATCAGTGCCAATATCTTAGTTGTATATAATCCTGTAATTTCCTGTATAGACCCTTATTTTTGACAATTAGTGCTTTTTGACATTAAATGAAATATCTTCATTCATGTTCTTATCAACTAAAATATTGAAAAGTTATTTTAAAATTATAATGAAATTCTATTGTTCTTGTTTCTCTTTGATGTTATTTTTAAATTTTCTGACTCATAAGTATACATAGTACAATGGCTTATTAATATATACTCACATATATATTCTTTTCTTTTAATCAAGCCACTGCCAAAAAATATGGTGTCTCGTCTTTGTGAATCTAAAAAAGTTTGTGCTGCAGCTGATATGCAGCTTCAGGTATGTATGTATTAACACTTTTGTTATGAAGTTTTCCAGAGTCATTATCCCAAATAAATATATAACTTGAAATTCTTGCCAGTGATACCTATTTATTATAATAATTATGCTGCCAAAACATCTTTCATCTGAGTTCAAAGAACTTGACCAAAATAGACTCATTCAGCCTTCACACTGCCTTTATGTAGTAGATGTTAAATTAGATTATTTCCCATTTTTCGCTGGGAAAATCAAAGCTTAGAAAAGTTACATGACTTCTAAATCACACATTTCAGCGGCCAAGTTAGGGCTCAAACCCAATCACACATATATTTATGCATTTTGTGTCTTTTAAAAAAATTTGTGTTTTTAGATGGGACATTTAAATAGCAATTGCCATTAGTTTTAGATAATATTCAAAACCAATTTCCAAGGTTTCCAGATGAAGACTCGAAACATTTTGTGAACCATCTGGATACCAGGTCTGCATGATACCAGATGTTTAAATATTTGTAATTACTGAGATTGTTTATGGAATTCTTATTCTTCGTCAGATCTTGAGAGTTATATAAACATAGCCAAAACACTCATCTTTCATCTTAGGCAATATTCACTTTATAATGATCCAGTTACCTATTTAAGAATGTAACCACTAGTTAATTGCTTTATAGTTTTGTAAAATTCAGTCCCCAGAAAGTAATGAGTGAGCTCTGTTTTTGTTGTACCTTAAATATATATTTCAGGGAAGAAAATCCATTATGTAGACAAAACCATAAATTTACATTCGATTTACATCATTCGGTGTCTATTCATATCAACATAATTAAAAAAGGACTTATGAATTTTTTAATATTAACATTACTTGGCAAAAGTCTTTTGATTTGCTGGTATCTTTAGTAGAAGGCCTGCCTTTTAAAAGTCTGTGTTATGGCTTTCTTCTTGAATAGTTGTTCCAATGATTTTCTTTTCTTTCTTTTTTTTTTTTTTTTCTGAGACAAAGTCTCACTCTCTTGCCTGGGCTAGAGTGCCGTGGCGTCAGCCTAGCTCACAGCAACCTCAAACTCCTGGGCTCAAGCGATCCTCCTGCCTCAGCCTCCCAAGTAGCTGGGATTACAGGCATGCGCCACCATGCCCAGCTAATTTTTTCTATTTTTAGTTGTTTGGCCAATTTCTTTCTATTTTTAGTAGAGACGGGGTCTCGCTCTTGCTCAGGCTGGTCTCGAACTCCTGAGCTCAAGAAATCCGCCCGCCGTGGCCTCCCAGAGTGCTAGGATTACAGTTGTGAGCTACCGCACCTGGCCAATTTTCTTTTAAAATGGAAAAACCAGCCTTTGCCTCCTCACTCTCCAAAAAGAAATAACCCCCAGAGAAAGAGAGAGAGACAGAGAAAGAAATTCCTGCCAGAAGAGCCGCCGCCCGTGCCCACCTTTCATACTGCATTTGTGCAGTGGAGACAAATAGCGTAGAAAGGAAGTGAATTGTTTCAGCATTCTAAGGGGGTATAAGCAGTGTTTTAAGAATTGTGAATTTTTATTTTTATGATTTGTTTTCAAAATAGGCTCCTTACTTTGGAGGGGGGCTCTAAGGTTCTTGGTCCCAGTAATGCATGACTCCCTGGGTGGGAAAAAAGGCTCGTGGCTTTAGAATTGTTTAGTTTATCAGTGAATGAGCATGAAATGAATGCATATTTAATTTATTTTGCTCTGTTTTTATAATTCAGAAGAAGTCATTCTGTGTTTATATCTTTTGTAAAAGGCATAACTGAAGAAATGAAACTCTTGAATTCTGATTTGTTTATACACTGGGGCAAAAAACCCACCTTGGTGGTTTAAGAGTTTAAGAGTTTCAATTCCCAATAATTTACTCTGTTAGAATATAGATAAGACATGAATGAGTAATTTTGGCTTCTTGGTTATCCTTATGTATTGTTACTCATTATAGAATAGAGAATTGAAAGAGCTTATATTTAGTTATATGTTTAGATTACCAGTTAGAGGAAAGCAATATTTATATCTAGAGGATGTCTGTATTTTTCTAGGGAAGCTTTAAACTTAACTTTATAATTTAGAACCATAATTCTATATCTAGGTGAAGCCAGAAGCTAGAGGTCATTTAAATTTTTTCTTTTATCCAAACTAATCCTCGCTTCTTTCAAGCCAACAGCTGCACATTCTCTATAAATTCCATTTCTGAATCAGAAGGATACATATCAGAAGCATCACTGCATGTCAAAATTTTTCCTTTAAAATGAAGCATTTTCTACTTTCTTGCATCAGGTGAACTCTACACAATGTTAAGTCAAATGTTCGAGTCAATATTCAAAACAACATTGGAGTCAAATGTTGCAGTGAAACAGTGCTTTGTCTTTAGATTTTCTATGCAAAATTTAGTTTTCAATACTTTGTAAACAGCAGATTTCACATTCATACTTTCCTGAATGCTTTCTTCTCCTACTGTGTTTCAGTGGTCTATATCCTCTATTTAGAGAGGTGCATGATTCCTCTCCCCTGATCACCTAGTTGAGCCAGAATTGCCCCAATACCCCATATGTTTTCTTTGCGCTTCCTGACACCAGGTGTTGGGGTCTAGCTCCAAACTCGCCAGCAGCTGCATCAGAATTCTTTTTAACATCTGTACTCGCCAGATGCTGGATTGCGAATCCTCACCCTCACCCAACCTATTTAAATTTTCTTTCACCTTTTATGACGAAAGTAGGATTCTGACCATTTCATTTCTCTCATTTGAGATATATTAGGATTCCAGGAAGAAAGCAAACAGGACTTGTTAGATCCAGGGGGTCACAAGTTGTAACTCTTATTATTTTTTCATATTTCTAACTGCATATATATTGGCAAAGTTCCAGTTTTGTGGTCACAAATTTAATTTGCTCCATTGTACGTAAAGAGTACTTTATGGATATGGTTCAAAATTCTTTAATATCCTTAATCATGAAAAGGTTGAGAACATTGCTTTTAATCTTTAACATGATCTTAAATGTGGTATGAAATATGGCTCAAACCATCTAAGTTTATTTTTGTGAATGTTTTCAACTATGATTTATAACTGTTATTCTGGTGCACTTAGAGCGTCTTTGGTCTACCACATCTGAGCTGTGAGGATGGACTACCAAAACTAAATAGATGTTTTCATCCATCTAGGTCTTTTATGCCACTCTGGATCAAATCTACCATGGGAAGCATCCCCTGAGGAGGTCAACCACAGACATTCTCAAGGAAACACAAGAGAAATTTTATGGCTTACCCTATGTTCCAAACACTGTGAGTCCAGTGCTTTGATTCTGTTGTGTGCGGTTGAACGGTTCTGCGGTTGAACGGTTCTGCGGGTGTTGCCGTAGATTGTGATCACCTTCCCCTTGGACAACGGAAATCCTCACATTTACGTTGAGGCCTCCCGTGGGGCAAATGCTAGAAACTGCCTGGCTCGTTTAACGTCTCTCCAACCATCTACTTACATGTCCGCATTTTCCTTCCTGTCACAGTGTTTTTCTAGATTCGTAGGAAAGGGAGGATTAGAAAGACCACTGGAGTTAGTCTATGTTCTCCTTTTCAGTTATTTTTCTATAATGAGAAAAATAGTGGTATAAAATGAAAGTGATTATCAATCCTGAATCATTTTCATTGCAAAGAGAATTAACATTTATTGAGTGCCTTATATTGTACAGAGATTGTAGTAGTTTCTTCACATATTTTTACCTCATTTAGTACCCCATCAGAATAGAGAGCAGGAGTATTGTTACCATTTATTGAGTTCTAGGTGCCAGATTCTAATTGCTTCAGGAAAAGATCTGTGATTTAACTCTCAAAAAAAAACTTATAAATTAGGTAATAGCCCTATATCTGGGGCTTATATTGAGGCTCATACACATTATGTGTCTTGTCTAAGATCATTTAGGTAGTTAAGTGATTGTGTTGGGATTCAAAACCAACCTCAAGCTTTTTTCATTACTCCAAGGTTCCTGTAAGGAAGCTGGATGTGGCTGAAAAAGTATTGGCTGGTGCAATTAGCACCGCAACTGACTCTTATATTACCCAGGCCTCTCTCAGTTGCAAGTAATAGAAACCCACTCATATCGGCTTAAGCAGGAATTTATCGAGTGTCGTAGCTGAAAAGTGCAACCGATGTTCAGGTCAGTTGGATCTAGGTCTCCCACAATATTGTTAGAAATGTTTCTCTCTCTTTTCACTTCTCAGCAATGTTTTTCTCTATGTTCGTTCATTCTCGGGCAGGCTCCCCGGAGTGGGTAGTGTGATGACTACCAGTAGGTCCAGGTTTATGTCCTTCTAGCTTAGTCAGTCTAGGAGAAAGATAATTTGAAAGTGCTCTGTAAACTATAAAAGAGAGAATAAATGTCAAGTGGTTTTATTTGTTACAGCTTTGGATAGCAGAATATGTTGTGCTAAGAGATTAGGTTAATCAAAAAACTATAATTGTCCACTAAATCTTCAGGTCCTAACAGTCAAACATGCATGGGGATAGTTCATAGTTATCAGACAAGTAAAGTAACAGGGTATTTTATCTTCATAATGTGCCTTGTCATTTTTTGATTGTCTTAGAAGCTTAATCATCTGTTCCAGATATATAATGTTAGTCATGCTAACTACCTAGTTTTGATCTTATATATTTGTTCTAATGCTGTGTGCTGTACAGCTCTTGATTATCTGTACTAGTGAAAATTTGTAGTGGTAAGAACAACTATTCATTCATGGGATAAATAATAGTAACAATTGCCTAGATTTTACTAGCTTTTTCCAGTTTACAGAGCATTGCCTGATTCCCCTGCTTTTGGACTTATATGGTTTTGTGCTTATTTATATTCTTTTTTGCTTATTTTTCAAATGGATGTGAGTTAAACTCTATGTATTGTAGTTAAAACATGGGCAGTAAGTGGTAAAGTCACAAGACGACCAAAATTAGGAGGAAGTGGATGCTTTCCAAAGCTGCAAAACTTCAGATTGACTGAAGTGCTTGCCCTCTGCCTTTCTTTATTTTAAGTACCATAATAATATAGCTGTGCCTTTTTTAGAAGAGAACTCAAACTTTGTTACTATTCACATTTCTTCTATGTAATCATTTAATATACTAAGATGACGTAATAATGGCAACCAAATTCTGAATTAACATCCATACATCATTTTTAACTTAAAAGGAAGGATGATATTAAGCCCACTGTCCTTGTCCTACTTTCTTTTGAGGAAATATAGAGGTTTATCTTCCCACTGGGATTATTTCCCCCATTCATGTTCAGTAGCCATAGCTCTTTGTGAAAATTGTTTTCAGAGGTCTTTAGAAGCAGCATAGCTATATTTAGAGAAGAAAGGCACTATTTTGAGGCCTGCTCTTTTTTTTAATGTCTGAGAGTTTGTTTAGATTTACATAAATATCCTACTCTTCCTACTTAGAAACTTCTGCATTTTTTCATTTGTTTATCAATTCGTTTATTAAATTAAGCCTATAGCAAAACATTCCCATAAAAATAAAGAATAAGACCGAGATGCTCATTGGAATTCTTTAATGCAGCATTTATCAGGTTAGTAAGAGAAGGAAAACAAAAGATGTAAGCATTGGAAAGGAAGAAACAAAACTGTCATTATTCTGGTGATTGATTATCTATGGATAAAAATCAAAGGTAAAGGTAAGTTGTT